AAAGGCTAAATCAAAAAAGTGAGATAGTGTCTTATCCTTTTCTTGATGCTGAAGAACTTCAGATGTAGGCAGGTATTTTGAGATTTTCCGTGCACACACAAGGTGAGGGAATGGGAATTTACGCCTGCATCTCCAATGTTAGTGAAAGCAAATATAAGTAAAGCTTGTGTATTTATAGCCCTTCTAGAAACTCTTCTAGTTGTGTTGTATGACGACCACCTTGGTTCCCCTTTGTGAGCTTTGTGGTGGAAGAGTAAGACTTTTTTTTTCCATGACATGAAAAAAAAAGCCTTTCAAATTGAGTGTCTGCTTCTTTGCTATTAAAGTAATTGCTTTAATAGCAAATAATTATTTTAACAGCAGAACAGCAGCCTTTCTTAACTTGGGGGAATTATCTAATTTAATGAGGAAGAACAGAAAATACCCATCTATCAAAATGTTGTAAAAAATGCCATGGAAGTGATCTCTAAACAATTAACCTAAGAGTTATGTTCTGAGTAAAAAGTAGAGCATGCCACAAAGTGCTTTTTAATATATTTCACTGATAGAGTGTATTATGTAAATAAGTAAAAATATCTTGCTTGTTGTGCCTAGAGTACAAAAAGGGGGTTTGTTATTAGAGTAGCTGTCTGATTTGCCCTTCAGGTGTTTTTTGGCTACGCTAATAGAACGGAGGGAGGACTAGTTTTCCAGATTTTATTTTTGATTTACATCAGAGAAATGTGAAGATTGAGAATTATCAGTATAAAATCATGGGGAGAAAATACTGTATCTGCTGCAAAACCTGAAGTTGAGCTCAGCATTTTTATAACCAAGTGCTTACCCATGAAAGACTCGGAAGAGGGTATTGTAACTACGTAGAACACTCACGGAACTTAGTGACGGTGTTTTTACTATCTGCTTGTACTTAAATACTTCCAGTGATTTCAGATGGCCTTAGAGTACATGTGCTGCTTTTCATGCTCTGTGTTGCTTTGTAAATGGTTCTACAGCTTCATGCCAAACACCAGCTTCCAACTACCATTAAGTATAACAAGCTGCAGGTGGTCAAAGCCATCTTCACCTAAATGGTACTACATGTGGGTTTTTGTCCTGGATATACTGTACTTGCAGAAGCTCAAGCAGTTTGTGAAGCACTTAGTGTTACGTTTTAAGAGCTTGCCCTTTTTGTTTGTAATGCCTTTAAAAATTCTGGAGTTTTTCCCCCTTATCAGTGTTGTTCTCTTCCACTTGGCTAATGCTGATGAACTCCCTTATGTTTCTAGCTCAGTAAAAGTAATATGTGGCTGTGTTTCAATTGATTTGTCTGTGCACTTCTGTGAGGCTATACAGCTGTAGGAATAGTGTTTACATTTCCATGCCAGCAGCAAGAAAAGCAGATTTTCTCATACTGCCTGAACTGAGGTTCATCACAGTTCAAAATTGCAGAAGCTATGCAAATACCTGTGCAGTGCTGTGCTGGTGTGCAGGCAGATGAGGTCTGTAGCAAGAAGAGCTGCTTGGGTTTAGGAGCAGCTGCAAGATCCCTGCTTTTCGGTTGTTGCTGCAGTTACTATGCTTGTAACTTGCTGTTAACAGGGCTTTAATGCTATGTGGCATTCATTTAGAATTCTTGAAATTCTTCCTCCTTGGTAATTTTCCAGTGGTTCATCTTTAGTGTATAGATCCTTATTTTCTTTTTACCTCTATGTGTGTGAAGCTTTCAAATTCATAGCCAAGTGCTGGGCTGTGTGAGAACAGTAAGGAGAAGCAGCAAATGTTGTAGGCAACTCTTGAAATTGACAGGGCTGCTGTGTCATGAGGTGAAATTTAACATGAGACTTAGTTTTGAACACCAGCTTTTTCACTCATACAGCTGAGTAAATGAGTAGGTATAGGTTTGTGTGAGCATATTTGTTTCCAGCTGTCCTGTGCCCAAGATCAAATTTGCAATGGACCTGCATAAGGCATAGACCATCTGTTTGGCTTTTGAGGAGCGGATTAACCTTGATTAGCTCTAGAAGTCTAAACATGATAAATACTAGGCATGTCTAGCTAGTGGTTTGCCTGTTAAAACTCTCCTCTACAGATGTGCCCTTTTTCATTGGCTGCAGGTGGTGTCAAGATGACCAAGTTAAGTTTGATGGCTAACTTGGTTAACTGAAAATGAAGTGAGGTGAATCCTGCACTGACTGGTTTAAGCATTGGTGAGAGAAGGTAGGGTAGTTGATGTGCAGATCACATGGTTCCTGATGCAGTTTTTGTCAGCTGTTTTGAGGACATATGTAATTCACTTGTAGTAGGTTAATATGAAGAAACAGATTGTCTAAACTGATGAGCTAACTTCATTGCGGAGGAATGAGGAGACCTAAAATTGCTAGTCAAGGATTAGTAGCACAGGTGATGTAGGCTGGGAATAGTTCTTCTACAGTTGGCTTGAAACACGGAAGTAGTAAGTCTTTAGTGAAGGATGTTGCTGACTTGAACTGAGAAGACTTTGAAAAGGTATAATTTTTAAGATCTGTAGCTGTAGATGACTGAGCCAGTCCTCTGATAGAAGTAAAGGTAGGCTTGAAGCTCTTCATTAATCTTAGACACAATTCCTGGGGCAAGGAGCTGTTGCTATGGTAGTTGGAGGTTTCTTCCTGACTGATCTTGCAGCTGTTTAGGTTTGTGTTAAAATAAGCAAGCAACTGTGCTGTTGACTTGAGAATTCTGGTGGACAACAAGACCTGAAACTGTAGGAGTAATTGATAGTACTTCAAATATGTTTATGAAGTATGGACAGGTTTTCAGTTTGTTTTACTGTAGTAATTTGAGTCATGCCATTGCTGTCTTAATAATGTGGGCTAGCACATCTGATCAGGTAAGCATTGAGCTGTGCTGTTTCTTAGTAACCATTGTATGACTATTGCTCAAAACAGAAAACAACTTTCAACTTTTCTATACAATCTGAAGTTGCCTGAAAAAAACCTTATTCCTGTACTTGTAATACCCCTTGAAATACAAAGTAGTCACTTTGCCTGTGAGGCAAGACTGCCTGCTAGGTTGATGTGAAAGACATGTGGTAGAACTCTTGCCTGCACCCCCCAGTACTGTATGCTAACCCTGTGGGTAGATAGATGCATTGAATTCAAGCAAGCTAATGCCCTTTTCCCCTTTCTAGCATACAAATGTATATTCCACCCTCCAGGTCTGTTCATTTGAGTAAACTAAAAGTCAATACATATTTTGGGCTGTGAATTTGAATATGTGAAATTAAATAGAATACTACTGGACTGTGAGTCCTTTTTATGTGAGTTGAAACCAGCTGTAAAGCTGTCCACTTTTATTTTACATTGCCACATACTGTGACACTGGTGATGCAGTGCCTTGTATTATTGGTGCCTTGTGTTTCTTCCCCCTGCAGGTAGACCTCACAGTGCAAGAAAAGGAGGAATACCTTAATGTGTCTCGTTGGTTCAACCACATTCAACATTATCCAGGTGTCCGACAACATCTCTCTAATGTCATCTTCATCAAGAACAGGTTATACACTAATGCTCATTAAGGAAAATATTCATGTCATGTTGGAAGGGTGTTTGGGAGTTTAGCAGTTATACTGTCCAAAACCACTAACTTCAAAATACTGGTTTGTAACCACCTGTATGTGAACCAAAACTGTCGATGTCTCAAATAATACAATTGCATTGAATTGCTGTTGCTCATTCAAGAGTTTGAACTGGTTAAAGAATTGTATCGTGTATCTGATTAAATGAAACAATGGTAGAAAGATGGAAATGGAGTTTTAATTCACTATTTTTTTAAAAATGAAGAGTTCTTTCAGTTGAACATTCAAGTGTAACTACATGGTCTTTGTAGAAGGAAGTACTTGCTTTCCTTCAATTATTCACTCCTTTTACTATTTATTGAATTTTTACGGCTGTCCCTCTTTCTTTTCAGTTTACTTTCCATGGATGTTTACACTAGTTTTGTAAAAGTTAAGAGCTATATTGTGTGCCAAGGATGTGAAAAAGGGAACATGCAAATGTTACAAAGTATTTATGTGACTGAATAAATTATTTTAAAACCATAGTCTTAATTTGGCTGTGAAACATTTAGTTTTTCTTTCATAAAGAAGACTTTTAAAAGGTTCATTCACTTGCTACTTCATTTTGTGGTATATGGACTTTTCCTTAGATTCTAGGAGCGTTTCCTTTCAAACTGGGTAACAAAGGCAGCATTTTTCAAGATTTTGCATATGTCTCACTATATGGTATTTCCACACAAGTACAAATGCAAGTTCCAAGAACCTTAAAAAGATAAACACGCAAGAAACCAAACACCCCCCTCAGATTAAGATAATTATGAACTATTCTGTCAAGTTCACTCTCAATGGTTTACAGTTTAAGACCAAAGACACTATTGTTGGGTCAGACTTTTGGAGAGATCAGTTCACTGTGGAACATGGTCCCTCCATTTTTTATTTTCAACAAATCTAAAAGTGCTAAGGATACATCTGAGCTGGGTAATCACCTCTGCACAATTCAGCTACCCTTTCTTTTAAAAAGCTGAAAGAAATGGAAAAATATTTTGGTATTTTAGTTGATGAACTTCTACGTTGGTTTCTACGAATGCTTGGCTAACAACTTCTCAGTTGTATGTTCTTTTGTCTTAACTGCTACTTTAGGAGCCTCCCCCGGTGAGGTAGATACAACGATACCTTGGGTAGCTGTTGGAGTGTTTTGAGTGTTACAAAGCCTTAAGGAAAAAGTAGGTAGATAATGAGATAATTAAAATACATCCTGACACACAAAAGGACAGAAGAAAGTGAGTAAGCTTAACTTGGACAATTCCAGGCTCTCCAATAGATGTTTTCTGTATACACATAACTTCTTTAGAGAGTTTACGGTGTTACTTTTAGGAATGTCTTATAGTGTTAAAAATGAATACTCGTTTTGAAAAAGTTCTTGGCATTTCCCAAGGGGTTTAATTCTCAGATTCTACTGTCTCACTGTTAGTTACTCTCACTCCTTGATATCTAGAAGCAGGCCTTGTGTACTTAGTTATGAAGATCTCGCCGAAATCTTGACATCTATTCAAGAATTGTGGAGTGGGCTTTAGCGCAAATGTGCAGGAGAAACTTCATACTTCAAACTTTTCATATTTGATTACCTGAGGGCTTCAGGTTTTTACTGTCAGTACTGGCACACTTAATTACCAATTTATTCAACCATTTGTTACATAAGAGTACATGTATAAGCACGTTTCCTTTTTTCCCCCCACTTATGACTGGGAGCAAGTGATGATGAGACTGAGGAAAATGACCTACACTTCTGCTAAATTCTACTATAGTGAAGCATTTTCTGTTTTTGAAGGGAAGCTTGAGTGGGAATAATCAGTGCATTTGGTCAGGGTTTGGGGAAGTTTCATGTTCATCTTACAGATTGTTTGTTTTTATATATGCTGTTGCAGGCAAGAACAAGTTAAGTGTTGTAAAGTGTATGTTGGAAGCCTTCACCTGTGGAAACAGTGACTTCTATTACAGCTGAGAACACTGGAGTGAAGCCAAAGCTAAAAATATTGCTTTAAACAATACTGTCATCTTTTCAGGCACATTTGGTAGGGATGATTCTACAATGCGGGGTTGGTTTTTTTTTATTAATCCCAAACAACTGCTGTTTCCAAGGGCTGGGATTTCTCAAGGTGGCTGCATGCTACTGCTGCAGTATCCCCTAGCTTCTTGTGCCAGTTTTATTTTCTCTGGTGTAGAACAGGAGTGTTATTGCTGCCGAAATGTTTTTTTAAAAAAAAAAAAAGTTCGGATAACAAAAAATATATGTTTAGAAGAGGATTAGTAAAATTTATAAGTTCTGAGAGGCATTTGGTCATTATCATGTGCTAACTTGAGCATTTTGATTTTCGCTCCCCTGCCTGGAGAAGCTTAAGGGTGTAGAGGCTTTAAAGCAAAGGAGAGTGAATTGAGATGTTGCCTTAGAGAGATGATTGGGAAAAGCAGATGGCATTGATTTCCTCCCCTCTCCCCCTTTCTGTCTAATGCCTTTTGATCATCAAGGACAGCTGAATCTGGAAAAGAACTTCTGGAGCTTGGTCTATCTGAGATTGAGATGAGGTACCCTTTTTACTATGATGATGCTTTGTATTATGTACAGATGAGGTGCAGTGTACGTGAGCTGTCAAATTAGCATCGATGGCCTGTATAAAGAGTGTGAGTGGGTAAATGTTCTGCTGGTTTTAAGGCTACTACGGCTTGTCTTTCTGTTTCTGTAATATTTTGTTATACTTTCACTGAGCATCAGTAAAAGTGACTTTCCTCCCTCGCAACCTCTTTCTCCTTTCTTAAAATTTCAGTTGCTGAAGGGCACAGTAAATACTGCGATGTTGTTTTACTTTTGTTGCTTTGCAGTTTGATGTTGATGATGACCACAGTGATGTGTGGAATTTATTTTCACAGCATTTCATGAACAGTGGTGCTCTCATTTGTTAATGTATCTCATCATTGGAGTATTATTATTTTGCATAATTGTTCTAATTTATTCAAGGGGCCTGACATGTTATGGTCTTTTAAGTATGTGCCTCTAGGACTTGAGGTTGTTGCCATATGGTGAGACAGGGCTGCGTGACAACCTTTCAGCAACTGAAGAATTCAACAGTAAAAGAAATATGATAATTGTAAGTGTTCGGTGAAATCTTAACACTTACCACTTTGACTTGTCTCCTTCCCCTTGGTGCTCAGATGACTGGTGCTTGCAGACAAGCCAGGCTGAAACATGGGTTCCAAGTACTGCATCGAGTACGTTAGAAATGTGCTAGTGATTTTTAGTGGCCTTGGTGTGCATAGCTTCATTTTCAAGTGAGAGTCCAGTTTGACTGGAGAAATCTCTAGGGGCAGTTCTCAAGCTGAGACTCGTAACTGGGCAACAGTGATTTATATAAAAAGCCAGGTTTAATATGGAATTAGAGAAAAACAAATAGGAATGAGAAGTTTGAGATTGATCTGTGTTACACCAAATGAAAACAAAACTAGTTCCAGTTTAGACCTGGGTACCGAGAAAATCCAACCGTTCAGATGGAACTGAAGTGTAGGCGTTTCAGCAGCAAAATTGTATGCAAGTTTTTTATGGTAGCTTAAATGTACGACATGCGTTTTGTCGAGTCTCTTTTGTGTCATCAGTGATTTACCTATCAGGTTGGCATCCTAGTTTCCCACAGAGAAGACAAGTTAGGAGAAACCACTTTTGGGTAACAACCGAAACAGTCCAATCGAGGAAGTTCCGTTGCCTTTCTTCACTGCCCACCCACTGGAAGTACTTGCTTTCAAGAGGTTTGCACCTACCAAATTGCCAGAGAGTCTTTGGGTAAAATGCATAACGTTTGGACAGGGAAGTCTCCTAGCTGGAACCTTAGCTGTTTGCCTGTAAGAGGTGGTATTTTCATGTCATTTTAATCTTGTACTCCTTCTCTATAACCTACCCCACCCTCTTCAAAATATGTTTAAACTGAAGTAACCCTTCTCCCAGAAATTCCTTCCTACTGTCTGAATCTTTGCAAGTACATAGGCCTAGAAATGAGGAGCTTATTTTTTGTAAGGTACATCTTAAACTTCCCCATGGGTGTTAGAGCTCATTGGAGTGTCTTGATAAAATAATTCTTCAACTTTGCTTTCTTTCTGTCTCACATACATACACACATTTCTTTCAATTATAGTTGTAGCTGATGGAAGAGTAATCTCAGCTCTTCACTGTGGGTGTGGATCCTGGGTTGTTGGCAGGCAGCTGAAACTTGTAACTAAGGTTTAAGGTGGACATGAGTATTCTGCAATTCAAATAAGACACTCGCTTATATTAACTGTTTTATATGAAAATGTCACTTAGAAGTGTTAACATGGTTTTGTCCATGAAATAAAATATACCCAAGTAATGTTACAGACAAAGAGAGCTGTAGAACTTGGTCACCTTTATTCTTGAATCTCTTGTTTAAAAAGCAATAGATGATCAAAACTCTGCTCCTCAGTGCTGTGGATTTGGAAGAGATGAGGACAAAGTACTTAAAAAGAGATCAGCTGAGAGCCATGAAAATAAAGGAATAGATACAACTGTACAATCATTACCAAGAAATCCAGTGTAAACTCTTCTATTGAGAGGTCTGGTTCATATTCTGTCTGATCTGCTAGCATCTTCTCTTTGCATCTATGCTGGTGATTTATGGTTTGTCTGCTACATGAATGCTGAAGTTTAGAATAGAGGCATTATCATGATTTTTCTCCCAAGTAAATTTGCATTGGTATGGCCATAAATTGATTTTATAATTGTATGTGTATACAGAACCTAGTATGTAATTTTTTTTGTACTTTTTTTTTTAGCTTTTGCTAGGAAGAGGGATCTGTAAGCTTATTTGATTTCTTTTTTTGTTTGTTTGTTTAGGTTTTTAATCTTATCACTTCTTTTAATCTTTGGTGTGTTTCACGGTCTTTTAACTTCAAAGTGTAATTGCAATGATGCGGCTGCTTAATGGATTAATACATTTAATATTTTTCCCCAAGAGCGGTAT